CAGTAGTCACAATGCCCGGGTCAGGCGGAACACACAGGTAACAGTCACCCTCATCACTAGTAGGCAATGTATACATGGCAGTGAGGATAGCATCATAGTCAAGAGTATAGATATCTACCCTCAGCCTAAGCAGCTCCATCCAGTCGGGGAGCTCAGCCGCGTCGCCAAACTCCGTACGCCAGGCGTCGCTCAGACGGGCGAAGCAGCGGGACTCTGCGTGACCAAACGTCCCGCAAGGCTGACCAGTCCGAGCACCAGTGCGAATGACGTACGGACAGCGAGCAGTACCCCGTGACCCGTCACGCTGAGCGTACCACTCACGAAGCTGCTGGGGCGAAAGGACCGCGCACGGACGACGCTGCAGCTGCAATTGGCCACGACAAGCAGCTGCCGAACTACTCACTCCAGGACGACTCCCACTACGGCCACCCCGACAACCCCAAGTAGCATACCACTCACGAAGCTGCTGGGGCGTGAGGGACTCACGCGGACGTCGCTGGAGCTGCATCTGGCCACCGCCACGAGCAGCAGGAGCAGTGGTAGCCGCAGAAGCAGCAGCAGTAGCAATAGCAGTAGTCGCAGCGCGGCCACCCCTACAACCCCAACTAGCGTACCACTCACGAAGCTGTTGGGGGGCGAGGGACTCACGCGGACGGCGCTGGAGCTGCATCTGGCCACGCCAGGAGCAGCAGTAGCAGTAGAAAGAGCAGTAGCAGCAAGAGCAGCAGTAACAGCAGTACGGGCAGGGCAGTGCTCACCAGTGGCGAGAAGGCAGGCGTATGACGGCGGCAATGGCGAGGCCGCTACCACTGTAGGGCGAGGGCTCCGCGGCAGCTGCAGGGGCAGCTGCTCCAGGGGCGGCTGCTGCTCCAGGGGCGGCTGCTCCAGGGGCGGCTGCTGTAGTGGCGGCTGCTCCAGGGGCGGCTGCTGCAGGGGCGGCTGCTCCAGGGGCGGCTGCTGCAGGGGTGGCTGCTCCAGGGGCGGCTGCTGCAGTGGCGGCTGCTCCAGAGGCGGCTGCTTCAGGGGCGGCTGCTCCAGGGGCGGCTGCTTCAGGGGCGGCTGCTCCAGGGGCGGCTGCTGCAGGGATGGCTGCTCCAGGGGCGGCTGCTGCAGTGGCGGCTGCTCCAGGGGCGGCTGCTTTAGGGGCGGCTGCTCCAGGGGCGGCTGCTGCAGGGGCGGCTGCTCCAGGGGCGGCTGCTGCAGGGGTGGCTGCTCCAGGGGCGGCTGCTGCAGTGGCGGTTGCTCCAGGGGCGGCTGTTGCAGGGGCGGCTGCTCCAGGGGCGGCTGCTGCAGGGGTGGCTGCTCCAGGGGCGGCTGCTGCAGTGGCGGCTGCTCCAGGGGTGGCTGCTGCAGTGGCGGCTGCTCCAGGGCACGGGTTAGGGCAGGGCGCCGCGGCGGGCAGGGGTGACGCCACGCGGGTCCTGCAGGGGCGTCGCGACGAGGCGGGGGCGACGCGGCGGGGCCGCGACTGACGACGGGGCGGGGCCGCTACGGGCAGCGGGGCGGGGCCGTGAAGGGGCTGCGAAGGGGCCGCGAAGGGAGCCGTGAAGGGGCCGCGAAGGGGCCACGAAGGTGCCGTGAAGGGGCCATGAAGGGGCCGCGAAGGGGCCGTGAAGGGGCCGCGAAGGTGCCGCGAAGGGGCCGTGAAGGGGCCGCGAAGGGGCCGTGAAGGGGCCGCGAAGGGGCCGCGAAGGTGCCGTGAAGGGGCCGTGAAGGGGCCGCGAAGGGGCCGCGAAGGGAGGCCGCGAAGGGGCCACGAGGGGCCTGAAGGGGCCGCGAAGGGCCGTGAGAGGGGCCGTGAGAGGCCGTGAGAGGGGCCGCTACGGGGCCGTAAGGGAGCGCGACGGGCCACTAAGGGCAGGGGACGCGACGGGAGGGTAGGCACACGGGGCGCGACTCGGGCAGGGGCGAAGCGCGCTCCGGGCAGGAAAAAAAAATCGATATTCGGTGGGCCCTAGGAAACGTTCCCACTAGGGAACCTGCTCTATACCACGTGAAAGAACGAGGAATGAGTGCACTGGCAAACAGGTGGGTACAAGTAGGAAAACCTAAAAGTGTTGTACCCCATATTGTCTACCCCACTACAGCCTACACAGACTATAGCATATGAGTTTGACAACCCGCCGGAGTCAAGCGTGAAAGTGTGCAAGACCTCAGCTGAGGCAGGACCTGTGGTAGTAGACGCACTAGCAACTAGAGCGTCGGTAGACTCACGGGCACCTAGAGCTGCAGCAGACTCACTAGCACCTGGAGTGGCAGCAGACTCACTAACACCTGGAATGGCAGCAGACTGACTAACACCTGGAGTGGCAGCAGACTCACTAACACCAAGAGCAGCGGTCTTAACAGAACGATAACCTCCACCACCAGGACGACCTCGCTGAATAACCCACTCACGAAGCTGCCGAGGGGTGGGGTCGTCCGGGAGAAGCAGTGCCCGCTGCTGTCCACCCCTGGCCGCAGCGACTGCCGCGGAAGTGGCCATGACAGACAGTGACTGTCAGGAGTAGGTCCAGCACCTCCAGCTCCTACAGCGCCAGCAGCACCTCCTACACTCCCAGCAGCACCTCATCCACTTCCAGTAGCACAAGTAGCAGCAGCAGCAGTAGTAACAGCAGCAGGGCGGTTCGGTGGGGGTGGGAGGCCGCACCTCCACCACTCCCAGCAGTACTCCCTCCAGTAGCAGCAGTAGCAGGGCGGCTCGGGCAGCAGCAGCAGTAGACCGAGTAGCACTAGCTGTAGCAGTAGTAGTTGCAGTAGCAGCAGCAGTGACAGCTCGGGCTGGGCAGCGCGGCTCGGACACAGTGGCAGAGCAGCAGTAGCACTAGCTGTAGCAAGTGCAGTAGTAGGAGCTGCAGCAGTAGCACTAGCTGTAGCAAGTGAAGTAGTAGGAGCTGCAGCAGTAGTACTAGCTGTAGTCGCAGTAGCTTCAGTCAGGAGCAGCTGCAGTAAGTGCTGGAGTAGGAGCTGCAGCAGTAGCACTAGCTGTAGCTTGAGTAGCTTCAGTCAATAGTAGCTGTAGCAAGTGCTAGAGTAGGAGCTGCAGCAGTAGCACTAGCTGTAGCAAGTGCTGGAGTAGGAGCTGCAGCAGTAGCACTAGCTGTAGCAAGTGCTGGAGTAGGAGCTGCAGCAGTAGCACTAGCTGGAGCAGCCGTAGCTTCAGTCAGTAGCAGCTGTAGTAAGGGCCGTAGTAGCAGCAGCAGCAGTAGCACTAGCTGTAGCAGCACTAGCTTCAGTAGCAGCAGCAGTGAGTAGCGCTAGCTGTAACAAGAGTAGCGTCAGTAGCAGCAGCAGTGAGTAGCGCTAGCTGTAGTAGCAGTAGCAAGGAGGAGCAGCTGCAGCAAGTAGCAGCAGCAGCGAGTGCAGCAGGAACACGGGCCGCGTGCGGGCCAGGCGCGGGCTGTAAGGGCTGCGTGCGGGCCTAGCGCGGGCTTTACGAGCTGGGTGCGGGCCTGACGTGGGCTGTACGGGCTGCGCGACGGCCTGGCGCGGGCTGTACGGGCTTCGCGACGGGCCTACGCGGGCTGTACTGGCAGCTAGGGCGCGGTCAGGGGGGGTCGCACGTGACTAGGAAGGAAAATCGCGTCTAGGGCAGAAAAAGGAACCGTCTCGCCTAGAGCACGGTTTCGAATTTCGCGTTTCTCCTAGGGGCGTGACTCGGGCAGTAGATCGAAATAGTAGTGGTGGGCCCTTTTAAAAATTCGGTCCTAAGGAGCATTGTGCTCTTAATACCATGTTAGAATCACTAGCTAGGTGAGGAATGAATGTCGATTAGGTAAGAGGGAGGGGGTACAAGGATGTCGAGAGAGTTGGGTTGTTTGTACCCTCTTAGGTGTGACCCTACACAACCTAGAGTAAGAACATAACAATATGTTTTGACAGTCGCATACTAGTATCGTGGCGAAGGCTGTTTCACCCGCCTCCTGAATTCGCTTTCGCCCCACACACATTTCCGAAATACACGATATTATTATTTTCGCCAGACTGTTTCAACCCCACATAACTTGAAAATTTACCATGCTGACCTCGGGCTTTAAAGTAGCCCGTCCCACCACCGCCGCGACTACTGCATTCAATCTTTTCACGTGAGTGATAATCCGATTCGGCGCAAAGAAGGGTCCTTGCACACGTCTCCGTCGACCCATGGACGACGATTTTGATGGCTACCCGAACGCAGCTAATACCAGCATGGTTGCCAACGGCAGGCAGGCAGCGGTAGGCCATGGTATGTCTACTATCCTCTTCTAATGGCCGACATGCTGAGACACCAAGGACTCGAGAGGAGAAGCGGGAGATCACGGCAAGCGAGAGTTCAAAGCAAGCGAGAGATCAAAGCAAGGGAGGGAGAGATCAAAGCAAGGGAGGAGAGATCAAAGCAAGGGAGGGAGAGATCAAAGCAAGGGAGGGAGAGATCAAAGCAAGGGAGGGAGAGATCAAAGCAAGCGAGAGATCAAAGCAAGGGAGGGAGAGATCAAAGCAAGGGAGGAGAGATCAAAGCAAGGGAGGGAGAGATCAAAGCAAGGGAGGGAGAGATCAAAGCAAGGGAGGGAGAGATCAAAGCAAGGGAGAGATCACAGCAAGCGAGAGATTACAGCACGCAGATATGGTGGACAGCATACAGAATTCCTAATGTTGTTCAAAGAAAAAGCAAAGGTACCGGTACTAATACCGTACGTACCGGTATTCCTAACCTAGCCTACCAAGCGTAACAACGACATCACAAATACAATTTTGCACACCCCCTCGTACCCAAGGCTAGGTAAGGGGCGGACAGTGCATGGAGGTTGCCTACCATACACTGTCCGCCCCTTACCTAGACTAAGGGTTGTGTCAAAGTGTACACTTGTTACAGTGTGCCGTGCTGTTACCCTAGGTCACAGTTACGCATCTGTAGCCACCTTTCTCATTCAGTGCATCATCTTTCTGTTTCTAACAGTACTAGGAGCATCATGAGCATCAGTCACAATCACGCAGCTGGGTAGGTATGGATGGACATGCATCTACACCATTGGAGGAAGGGTAGCTCTGTATATTCTAGCCTGGTAAAACCCATCTGCTGTTTTCCTCTCTGTTCCTTCAATCGCTTCCAAGTGCAATCCTGAATCTCGTGCTGCTTCCCAAACCACCTTTGTTGTACTGCAGATGAGACATGTGCGAGCGTGTGTGGGAGAGGTGCAGGTGTGGAGGGAAAGAAGCACGGTTCAGGAACGGCAGAGCAAACGTGTTAAAATGGACGAGGTAGATGCGGATGAGATGAAGACAACATGAAATCTCATTACCGACTTGAGTTATACCCTGAGCTAAGCCACATGAGTACTCGCCTCAAGTGTGTGGATCACATGAGAAATCACCTGAGATGCCGCTCCACGTATGCGAGGATGAAAGAGCTGGGGGGCAACTTGGCATGTTGTGAGGCTACCTCCTCACACACACGCGCGTCGATGGCAGATGTCTCTTGCGGCGCGTCATGCAACAAATCATGACCAGGCCCATGGTGAGATGAACGGAGCTGAGAAGAGGATATGGCCTGCTGCTGGCGGGCTGAGAGCAGCGCCTTGATGCAGGTGAAGAGAGGTGGCACATGGCACTGCTGGTAGCCTGATAAGGCGGGTGAGAGAGAGAAGATGAGGAGAAGCTGGAGGTAACGGGGGAGGGAGGGAGGAGCGGAGAAATTAGGGGGAATGGAAGAACAGATGAAATCAGAGCCGTTGAAGAGAGGAATTTAACAAGAAAACGAATTTCTAGACAACTCACATATGTCGGCACCAATAATGACGTCGAATCCGGTGGGATGCGCTGCAAGCAGGGCGTCCAGATGCTGCTGGTCCGCCCACTCCAGCTGCGCGCACTCTAGGGTGGGGCTGCATGAGGCTGACGCCCTGAACAGAACCGCACACGAGACAGAATCAAAGCAGACCTGGGAGAATCGCATTCGTTAAGGTGCTCTATCTCTGAGTGGACGCTGAAACAGGCCTGGTGGAGGGGAAAGGAGGGGAGAGGAGGGGAAAGGAGGGGAAAGGAGGGGCGACCATTGTTGGAAGAGGTGGTTGTGGTGGTGGACGTTGCGCTGCACGACCTGCAGCAGGAGCTGTCATTAACGGACAGTTGGGCTGCAGAGGCCGCATTACTTCCATCAACTCATGTGGTTCGTAGGACAACGAGACAAACCCCTTGGATCGGGTGAAAGGAAGGGGCCTGATTTACTGCGAGCTAGAGCGCTTCTTGGAGAGCCAGTTTGAACAAATCTTCAACTTGAAAGCCGAACTTGCACACGTGAGGTGAGGGGCGACCTTTGTTGGAAGAGGAGGTTGTGGTGGTGGACGTTGCGCTGCACCACCTGCAGCACCTCACTGTTGTGGTCTGTGAGCGTCACGGCGCTGCTGCCCACGTGCGCGCACACCAGCCCTGCCAGCCCCGCGCCCGCGCCCACCTCCACCACGGCCTTGCCGGCCACCTCCTGGGGGTGCGCTGTGAGGTAGTCTGCTAGTATGGCTGCTCCCGGCCACACTATCTGCCCTGTCAAGTCGTAATCCGCTGCACCGGGGAAAACGAAGAAGGGGGGGAAGGGGGGGGGAAGAGAGAGGGGTGGGGAAACACCGAGGGTGGATGTATGAAACCCGAAAACCTAAACCAAAAACCCGAAACCCGGAAATGGGAGCAGAGAAAGAAGTGGAGTTGGGAATGAGGAAGGTGGAAGGAGAAGGAGCAGAGATGGAGAATGCGAGAGCGAGAACCGCCTCAGCGGGAAAGTGGGGAGCGGGCTTAACTGGTGGCGGCGGCGAGGCAGTAGAGAGGCACACTGATGTCGTTGAACGAGAAGGAACGGAGCACGTAGCTGACGGGCAAGGCCGATGCCACGGAAGGCGGGGATTGGAAGGAGGGGATTGGGAAACGCGGGAAAATGGAGGTAAGCGACGGCACCACGAAAACGACGCGTCCGAACCCAGATGACGGGGTCATTCCAATATCCTTCCACAGTCCTTCCAGGGTCCTACAATCGCTTTGGGTTCCGTCAAAGGCTCTTTTTCCGGAGCACAATAAGTGGTGTTCGGGACAACTTGCGATCCTTCCACTGAGGGTCCAAAACGAGCTCGAAAGGACTCTGTGATCCTACCAACGTGCGCAGCGTCCGCGCTTTGCAACCATTGGATAGAATACAGGGGACTAGAGATATGGTAGCTGGTTCTGGGGCCGCTAGTTACAGAGGAGCACACAGGTTACTTCATACTGCGGGCAAAGAATCATCGCCAGTTCAAGCCAGGGGGTTAGAAAACCCAGCCTCGAAAGGACGAGGGCAAGAGTCAAAACTAAGTGACGCGAGACTCTCGTGATGAGTACGACGATGGTGGATCTCTGATGGACGGTGCTAAAACGTTATCTCACATGCCGAGTTCTCTGCTGGTGACAAGTTGCATCGTGACGAGTACTAGCTGCACCTTTTGTCGACGAACAATGACGCTTCGAAGAAAGTGCCATTCTCGTCCTCCGCCTCTTCCTCGTCCAGAAGGATATTTGAAAGACCCCGTCTGTCCGCCTCGACGCCGGCCATAGCGGCGGCAACGAGGAGGTGTGGTCACCGCGAATGACGCTTGCGAAGCTATAATTCGAGGACCATACCAAGCAAGAACCGACTTGTGCCTTTGCTCGGGAACGGACTAGACTGCCTGCCTACCTTCCCCGAACCGATGTTTCACGCCTGGAGAGAATTCCTGTAGAACCTGGATCGGTGATTCATCCTTACTCGCGTGGCCTCGAATTACTCGAGTGGCCACCAAATTTGGTGATAAATTGAAAATCGCGCAATTATCAATACAGAGGTTTCGGGGATACAAATCCTTGTAGGGTAATGCGCCGGGTAAAAAAAAGCCAGCGGGAATCCCCTGGCGTGGCCAATCGAGTAATTATCACCAAATTTGGTGGCCATGGAGTAATTGGAGGCCACGCGAGTAAGAATGAATCACCGATCCAGGCTCTACAGTGATTCTCTCTTCATGCCTGACACTTCACGATAAAACAGGAGATCGATCTCAATACTTGAACTTTGGGGTTTTTAGTTTAGGACGCGGTAAAGTGCTCGATCGGGGGGAGATCGATCCGGTCACCTCACTCAAACCCCGCGTTTTACGTACGAAAAGTAAACGACCGTTCAAAACCGCGATTAAAAACAAACCTGAGGCGATCGATTCTCCACTATTACCGCGTCCCTAGGGTAATTACCTCCGCGGTAACAGACATTGAGCTTGATCGCACGCGAAGTAAGCCACATGTCCAGATCATAACAAAGGTATACTCTCATCGCCACAGTGGTAACCAATATGTTGCGATGGTCAACATAATTGCCTCAATGGTAATGAACAATGCATCCGGATTTACTGGCTGGTAACTTCTAGTTCCGACCAAACTATACACCGTACAAGTAGGTAATAGACTCAGCGAAAAAGAAGGGTAATTACCTCCGCGGTAACAGACATTGAGCTCGATCGCACGTGAAGTAAGCCACGTGTCCAGATCGTAACAAAGGTATACTCTCATCGCTACCGTGGTGATCAACATGCCGCGATGGTCAACATTATTGCCTGAATGGTAATGAACAGTGCATCCGAGTTTCCTGGCTGGTAACTTCGCATTCCAACCAACTGAACACAGTACAAGTAGGTAAGATCACTCCCTGCTAGGCCACTGCAGTCATGGCTACCCCCAGTGTCCTTACCTTTGATGCTGAGGGTCGTGCTGTTGACTTTGAGGTCTGGGTCGATGACCTCCAGCTAATCCTACAGTGCGATAGGGCAGACGGACTCTCCCTGTTCGATCTCACCTCTGGTGCCTCTCCTGCCCCCCCTGCTACTGCTGACAATACTGTTCGCTCACAGTGGGCCACACGCGATGCTGCTGCCCGTCTTGCTGTGCATCGCCACTTACCGACCACTGAGCGTGCGCACTTTAGCCAGTACAAGAGTGCTAAGACCTTGTACGACGCTGTAGTTGCACGCTACTCCTCCCCTGCCACTGCTGCGCTTAGCCGCCTCATGCTGCCGTACCTGTTCCCTGACCTTGCTGCCTTTCCCACAGTCGCTGACCTCATTACGCACCTTCGCACTAGTGACACTCGCTACCGCGCTGCGCTTCCTGCTGAGTTCTGTGCCAAGAACCCCCCCCCCATGTACATCACCCTCTACTACATAGTCACCCGGCTCCCTGACTCCCTTCGCTTAGTCAGGGACCACTTCCTCTCAGTTTGCCCCACCACACTCACCGTTGACCTCCTCGAGGAGTGCCTCCTAGCAGCAGAGAAGAGCATAGTCGCTGTAGGAGCCTCTCGTGGTGACCCTCGCACCCCCGTCTTTGAGGGGTGTTCCCCCTCCCCCCTCTTGCCCTCTGTTGCTTCTGCTGCTGCGGCCGACCTCGTTGGTTTCGAGTCGGTCGGCGCTGCATCTGCCCCTAGCGGGAGACGCCGCACCGGCAAGGGCAAGGGGGGCAAGGGCGCTGGAGGGGCTGGCGGAGGCGGTGGAGGTGGTGGTGGAGGCAGTGGAGGGGGTGGGGGTGGTGGTGGGAGTGGGAGTGGTGGCGGGGGTGGAGGTGTCGGTGGCAGCAGTGGAGGCGGAGGAGGCGGCGGCGGTGGCGGAGGGAGCGGAGGCGGCGGAGGTGGCGGAGGCGGCGGAGGTGGCGGAGGCGGCGGAGGCAGCGGTGGAGCTGGTCGCGGCTCTGCGCAGAGGAGTGGCTCCGGTGGTGGTCCGCGACAGCAGCAGCAGCGCAGTCGTGAGACCCCGTCCCCCCAGCAGCTTCGTGAGTGGTACGCTGGGCGTCAGCGAGGTGGGGGTACTGGTCCCTGCACCTACGTCCTCCGTACCGGCGACCGCGCTGGTGAGCAGTGCGGGGGCCCGCACTCCACCCAGCGCTGCTTCGGCCGCCTGACGGACGCGTGGCGTCACCAGTTCCCTGACGCCACTGAGATCCCTCGCTGGGGAGAGCTGTCTAGGGCGGGGGTTGCTATCTTTGATCTTGATTATGATGCTATTCTTGCTGCCATATATGCTGTGTCTACTAGTGATGAGGGTGACTGTTACCTGTGTGTTCCGCCTGACCCGGGCATTGAGGCTACTGCTCTAGGTGCTGGTGAGGCTGCTGCTCTAGGTGCTAGTGCGTCTGCTGCCCCAGGTGCTGGTGAGTCTGCTCTCTCAGGTACCACGTCGGCTCAGGCCTTACACACCTTCACCCTTGACTCGGGACCTTCCCGCTCCTTCTTTCGAGACCGCACCACGCTTACGCCGCTTAGTCGGCCGGTTGCGGTCTCCCTGGCGGACCCCTCTGGGGGTCCTGTCCTTGCTCGCTTCTCCACTGTCTTACCGTGCCCGGCAGCCCCCTCTGGCACCCTGTCAGGTCTCTACCTCCCCTCGTTCTCTACGAACTTGGTGAGTGGAGCTGATCTACAGGATAGGGGGGTTGACCAGTTCACTCCTGCGAGTCAGCGGGTGACCCACTGCACGTGTGCTCGGACGGGCCGACACTTGGCCACGTTTACCCGTCGGCCAGGGTCGAGCCTGTACATACTGACTACTGAGTCTCCTCCGGTTGCTGAGTCTGGTCAGGTAGCTGCGTCGAGTCAGGTGTTTGCTGCAGCGTCCAGGTCTGGTCCTGAGTCTGCGCCCTGCTCGTGTCGTCTCCTGTCCCACCAGACTCTCCTCTGGCACCACCGCCTTGGTCACCCCTCCCTGCCTCGTCTCCGAGGCATGGCCTCCCGTGTCCTTGTCTCTGGTCTCCCCCGGTCCCTACCTCCCCTACCTCCGGGGCCTGCCCCTACCTGCGTCCCCTGCGTCAAGGGGCGACAGCGCGCCGCCCCTCACTCTTCCGAGTTTCCTCCGACAGAGGCTCCGCTGCAGACTCTTTACATGGACGTGTGGGGCCCCGCCCGCGTCCGTGGCCAGGGTCACGAGCGTTACTTCCTGTTGGTGGTTGACGACTACTCGCGTTTCACCACGGTGTTCCCCTTGCGCAGCAAGGGTGACGTCGCTGAGGTGTTGATCGGCTGGATCCGCGCAGCTCGTCTCCAGCTCAGAGAGAGTTTCGGCTCGGACTTTCCTGTTCTGCGTCTGCACTCTGACAGAGGCGGGGAGTTTTCCTCTGCCCGTCTGGGAGCCTTCTGTCGTGCACAGGGCATCCGCTAGACCTTCACGCTTCCGGCCTCTCCACAGCAAAATGGGATTGCTGAGCGCCGCATTGGCATGGTCATGGACGTCGCTCGTACGTCCATGATCCATGCGGCTGCTCCCCATTTTCTGTGGCCGTTTGCGGTTCAGTACGTAGCGCATCAGCTCAACCTTCAGCCCCGGGTCTCCTTGCCAGAGACCTCCCCCACCTTGCGGTGGACGGGGAAGGTTGGCGATGCATCTGCGTTTCGGGTCTGGGGATCTCGGGCGTTTGTCCGCGACTTGTCTGCGGACAAGCTGTCCCCCCGTGCTGTTCCCTGCGTCTTCCTTGGCTTCCCCCCTGACGCGCCTGGTTGGCAGTTTTACCACCCCACCTCGCGCCGTGTTCTGTCCTCCCAGGACGTCACCTTTGACGAGTCGGTGCCTTACGACCGTCTCTTCCCCTACCGCACTGCGCCCCTCCCCCCGCCGCCGCTCTTCCTTGCGCCAGGTCCTCCCCCGGTAGACCCTCTCCCCCCTCAGGGTCCTGCCCCGTCAGGTGTGTCCCAGGTAGACGCAGTCGAGCCTGTCGAGGTAGCTGTTGACTCTGGTGCTGCTAGGGGCGCTGAGCCTGCAGGTGCCGGGTCTGGGGATGCTGAGCCTGGGGGTGCGGAGCCTGGGGGTGCTGAGTCTAGGGGTGCTGAGCCTGGGGGTGCTGAGTCTGGGGGTGCTGAGCCTGGGGGTGCTGAGCCTGGGGGTTTGGAGCCTGGGGGTGCGGAGCCTGGGGGTGCTGGGTCTGCTCATGTGGCCTCTGGCGGTGCTTCGTCGAGGCGGGAGCTACTCTCTCCGCAGGAGCTGCGCGAGTGGTTTGCCCGGCGCTGGAGCCGTGCTGCTGGAGCTAGAGGTACTACTGTTGCTGCTGGTCCTGGAGGTGCTCGTACTGGCGGTACTGGAGCTGCTGGGCCTGGGGGTGCTACTGGGGCTGCTGGAGTTAGTCCTGCTGGAGGTACTGCTGGAGCTGCTGGCGGTACTGGAGCTGACGGTCCTGCTGGAGTTGGTGCTGCTGGAGCTGCTGGAGCTGCTGGAGCTGGAGCTGCTGGGGGTGTTGGCGCTGGTGGTTCTGCTGGCGCTGGTGCTTCTGAGGGTGCTGGAGTTGGCGCTGTTGGAGCTGGAGGTGCTGCTGGCGCTGGTGCTGCCGCTGGGGGTTCTGGTGCTGTCCCTGCTGGTTCTGGAGGCGCTGCGCGGCCGAGGCCGTACTTCGTTCCGCTCCTTGAGCAGGTTCTTGGTCTCCCGCCCTCTACTGGTCCTGCTCCTCCCTTAGAGTGTCCACAGCCTGTCCAGTCGCGATCACAGTTACAGCCCGCCTCCCCCCTACCTGCTCCTTCTCCCTACACTGGTCCTACTGGAGGTCTTGCTGAGCGTCGTG